TGACTTCGGCCCTTGTGCAGGAGTCGTCGCGCAGTAGGCAAGCGTACTTGCTCGGTCTTGCGGAGTTGCCTATACGGCCTGCAAGCTTGCGAGTGTCGCACTGTGCTGCATCTTGGGTTAATAAGCCGGTTTTCCTGCCTCGTGCGTGGTTTCTGCGCCGTGTCGGAGAAAACGACGAACCCGGCCGCAGCGTCGTCGCACGTAGCGGCAGTGGAGGACGTCGCATCCCTACACGGTTGCACATAGTAGATAAGCCTAGTGCAAACCTATCTCGACAACGTTGAGGTGAGCAGTTAGTCATTTCGAGTCGCGCTGCTAGTAGTCTGTGTGTGGTAGCTCAATGGTGCCAAACAGGCGGTGTCATTATAGTGCCGCATCTGTAAGGAAGTTGTCCTAGTTGCGGAGTCGTCGTCCAACGTTTAAGCCGAGCAGGACTTTGAAATGGACAAAAGAAATGTGCATCGCTGGAGAGGCGGCAGCGTGGGACGACGACCCGAAAAGTTTGATTGTGCGCTCATTTAAGAAGTGCAGCATATCCAATGCTCTAGATGACACCGAGAATGGCGCGTTGTTTCAAGACTGCGAGAACGAAGTCAGCGACGAGGGAAGCAGTGACAACGACTTGAAATGAGCGCGGCACCTATTTGATGGTAATAACTAGAAGCAGTGTAAAAAACAATAACAACAACAAAAAAAAAAAACAGAAACACACACAAGAGGACCAGCGGCTGCATATGTTTTTAGAGTTCTTTGCATCATGAACAAACTCCATTGTTTCATCTTCAAGTTCAATAAATGTTACCTTTCTGTGAATGCTGTCTTCGATGTATAGTTCAACATACATTCAAGATAAGTCCCCCCCCCCCCCCTGCTTCGAACTTCTGGGGTGTCGGCTTAGAATCGGGGTCGGCCTAGATTCAAATAAATACGGTAGTTTCATTTTCGAAAGATGACTTGACCTTGTTGGGCACAACTTTGAGGCAGAATAGTGGAAATGGAGCAAGGATTGGTCTTTTGGAGCAGTTTGGTGCAATTGGCACAGCTAGCACATCACTAGGGCCCCTAACTTTATGCGGTGGAAAATTTAGAATTCGGCAAGATACAGAAATCTGCAAAATTCCACGGCAACTCTAAACATGCAAAATTCTGTGGTAATATTGAACACATGCAAGAAAGCACATGTAACAACTTATTTATCACACTTTCAGGCTCGCAACATGCCTGCAATAATTAAAATTGGAGAAAGCTGTTGTGGCACAGCATCAGATGGTGCTTGGTGCTCTCTTCACTTAGAGAGTGACGCTTGTGGGAGACAATGTCACCATAGCGACTAAATGATCTCTCTGCATCAACAGAATTGATTGGTATCGCCAAGTATTTCAAGGCGATTGATGAAAGGGTTGGAGTAAGCTGCTCCATCCCTGCCCAGAAAGCCAGGATATCGAAGTCTGCTCCTGGATTTTGTTGCTTGGACACAAATGGAGCCAGATCCCTGTCACCGGTCTTCAGTTCTTGTGCAGTCTTCAGGTAAATCTGCCATTCGGCAGCTAGAGCAAGTGATTCTTCTGCAAGCTGAGGCACGCCTGTCAACTCTGTCCTCTTCTGTGGAAGACACCAAACTTGCAGAGGATCCAAGCACCTAACATCCTTGAAGAATTGCCACGTATTGGACTTCTCCAAATATACCTGTGCTTTGTTAGCCGCTTTGGTCATTGCAGCCTTCATCTTGCTTTCAATTTGATTGGCCTCATCATGTGCAACATTTTCTCTCTTCAGCGGTGTTGCAAAATCCTCCTTTGAAGCTGCTTCAAGGTACCTCCAAAGCGTAAACAATGCATTGCACGCTTTGTGGCAGGCTACGCACTGACCTTCTGTTGCTTTCAGCAAGCTGGAAACTTTTTTTCCCAAATACCGCAATGCACCGCATGCTGTTCCTGAGCTCAGTAGAGTCTTCACTAAGCAGTTTCAGAAGAGAATCAACACACTCTGCTTCACCATACTTCTGATGGACTTGCTGAAGCAATGAAGGATAGTGCTCGAAGTAGACAGAATGTTGTACCACAGCTTCAATCCATGAATTCCACCTGCTTTGGACAGGTGCTGGCGGTGCTTTGGCACACTGAACTCCACACTCTTTCAGATGCGATTTGTAGAAAGCTCTCTTTCTACTCGACAGGCAAAAGGCCTTCTTCATACAAGCGACAAACTTGTTCACTAAGAGAAAAGATGCCTACAGTGTGCTGCCAACAATGTTCACTGAATGGGCTACACACGTAATGTGAACAGCACCTTCACAAAGTGGCTTTATGCACTCCTTAAAAGACTTCACCATGTAAGTGGCATTATCGCTAACAAAGCTCGATACATCCTCAAATTCAACTCCATACCTCGTGAGTGTTCTTGTCACGATGCGCCCGATGACGGATGAGTTCACTTCATCCACGAATTTCACTTCCACGAGTACAGGTTGTAGTGCAGCATTCGCCGTTCTGGCCGACTGAACGAACAACACGTTCACAACCGATTTTGATCGGTCGTCGGTGGTTTCGTCTATAATTACAGAAACTGTGGTGCCTTGAAACATAGCTATAAAATTTGCCTCGTGCTTCTCGAACAATTCTGGAAGTCGTCGGCGGAGCGCGTCGGATCCAGGCACAGATCCGCCATTCCGAACGTGTCTGCAGAAACGTTCTCAGTTTGCAATTGTCCACCTTCTCAAGGGGAATATTTGCGGATATCCATGCATCCAAGAACTTGAGCACAACATCGTTCCTCACTTCACTAGCCGTGCTTGTGGATTCCAGCGTTTGCAGTCTACTTTGCTTCCTCGGTGCTCCTGAACCTCCGGCTCCATCTTCCGATGGTTCTTCGCCGATTTTTCGCTTAGAGGTCCCTTGATTGATATGTGAGGTTTAACATCCCAAAACCACTATATGATTATGAGAGACGCCGTAGTGGAGGTTGATTGATTGATTTGTGGCGTTTAACGTCCCTAAACCACGCTATGATTATGAGAGACGCCGTAGTGGAGGGCTCCGGAAATTTCGACCACCTGGGGTTCTTTAACGTGCACCCAAATCTGAGCACACGGGCCTACAACATTTCCGCCTCCATCGGAAATGCAGCCGCCGCAGCCGGGATTCGAACCCGCGACCTGCGGGTCAGCAGCCGAGTACCTTAGCCACTAGACCACCGCGGCGGGGCGCCGTAGTGGAGGGCTCCGGAAATTTAGACCACCTGGGGTTCTTTAACGTGCACCCAAATCTGAGCACACGGGCCTACAACATTTCCGCCTCCATCGGAAATGCAGCCGCCACAGCCGGGATTCGAACCCACGCCCTGCGGGTCAGCAGCCGAGTACCTTAGCCACTAGACCACCGCGGCGGGGCCGCTTAAAGGTCCCTTGTTCCGACATTCTCGCGATGACGATTGCTTTCGATGTGCTCGTCAATAGTTGATTTGCGGCGATGGTCAACTGCTCTTGCGCAAGCACGGCAAAAAAGCACACCTCCATCTTCGTAAAACTCGGAGTGCTTGTATTCTCAAGAGCGTTCCCTGGCAGTCTTTTTACTTAAATGTGACACTGAAGGCGCCATGTCTATTCACGCATCGACCTTCAACCAAAGCTAGGGTGGCTAGAACGACCAAAGCAAACGAAAACAAGGCACACGGCACACGTGCAGTCGCAAAAGCGAGTACGTTGGATCGATAGGTGACTACGGCTACTTACGGCTACCGTTAAGCCTTGTTATCACTGGCGGCTTAAAGTTTTCCTACTACTAAAAGACGATAAAGTAACATGAATAATTTTCTATTAACTAATGAAGTTACGAGCGCATTGATTCGCCGACATCTAACGCGAACTTTTTTTCTTTTGTAGAAAAAAAGAGTACGAAGAGATTGCCTCCGCGTTTCGATCGAGTACGAAACCGGAAACGCCTTCACGACAGCGCGTTGCGAGCAAGGAGGGTGGTTGCGAGCATGGTTGCAAGTTCGTCACACAGCCCCGTTTCGCGCTAGACTAGTCATGCCTGTTTTCAAAGAAGAGCCTCACCCATTTTATAATCAAAGCTCAATACAAAAACAAGTTATTTCACACGCTACAGCAATGTCGATTCTTTATTGCGCACTCGAAAATCTATTAGCTGGCATTGCGAACAAACTAACGACTTTTCGTATTCCCGCGAAGAAAAAAACGTAATTCCATGATTTCTCGCGGATTCGACCCGTTTTTCATATTTCCGCAGAAAAACGTAAATTCCGTGATTTTTCGCAGAATCGGGGAAAGCTAGGGGCCTTACACATCACTGTGCTAGCGTTTTCAGTGCGAATTACAGTTCACATTATCTTTTGTCTCTAAAGAGGTGTGGCAATTATGGGATAGACAAAAATAAAAGTTGATGAGAAAACAACTCATTACTGGTTGTGACCAACTCCAGAAAACTGTTTTATCCCTGCAAGGCACTTTTAGAAGTGAATCCTCTGATAAAAGGTTTATCATACCGTGGCACCTGTCCCTTTGTTGGGTACTTCTCTGTGCGTAACACTGAAAATGCACTGACAATGTTAAGAAGTGGCAATCACGACCATGGCAGAAAATATGGTGTTTCCTTTTTCGTTGGATGGCAGCAAGTGAGCTTTGCGCGTTTATGTCCTAAGAACAAAAGCTTACGAAAAAAAAGAAGCCCCACATAAATTTGCGCCGTTTTCAATTTCTCCAGTAAGACACCAAATGCTTTCAAAAGACTTTAAAACACTGAATACATATAGGGTAAGTTCGACGATTATCACCGCGAAGGCTATTACAGGGCTATTAGAGCAGCCATTGCACAACGACAATCTCTGTTTGGAGAAAGATTTATCAAAAACTACAAGAACACTTCCTGTGAAAATGTGAGCAAATAATCATCAAGGCTTCTTTCAAAGTAAACGTTTTTTTATGGTACAAATACAGGGGATGCTTCAGCAGAAAATAAAAGTAAAAGAAAAAAAGTACTTACCAACAAGAATGATGGGTGCATCAGGACAGTGGTGCTTTATCTCTGGAAACCACTTGGAGGTGACATTCTCAAATGAAGATGGGCTCACCACACTGAAGCATATGAGGAACACATCTGTCTGCACAGCATAAGGGAGAGAAACCCTTCCTCAGTTGACAGCAGTTGGTGTATTATGACGCACATATGGCAGTAAAATAAAATAGACCGCTCTTCAATCTCATCTCATCCGGATTGTTGCGACTTTTTAACATTGAGAACTTGGCTTAAGTTCAGACTCATCGCACTTCCCTGTGTGAGGTACATGCATCGAAATGGCATTCACAGTGATGCGATCGACTGAAGCCATTTCTGGAACAGCTAAAAGCTCGCTTTGTAGCAGCATAACCTCTTGCAGTAGTTACTATGCAAACACTTTCAAATGCAAATACACAGTGAAGCCTTTATACAATTACAGCTGAAACGAATTTTTCTTTGGCTCCAGCCATGGCCATATTGGCCAGCAATGCAACGGAGTGCTTTGCTGTGAACCAATTTTAACCCCATGATATTTGATACGAATGTACGATGCCATGTAGGTACAGCACAGGTGCTGCCTGCGCTGTCGCGGAAGACGCACCAAGCACGCAGGATCCTGAGTGCGAGCATTCACACCGCACTGCAAAGCATTTAACCTCTGAGACTGTGTGCACGAATGTTGGAGGCCCTAATGCGCTTTTGTGTTTAGACCACAGATGGTGCTAGTGCCATGCATACTTTGATGTGTTGATGCATGCTGCTTTCATTGTGCCTGTGTTTGCACATCAATTTAAACCATGTCCTCGAACGATGGGCATCTTAAGAAAGGTGGACGAGGACAAAACATATTGCTACGTAGCTATTGCATCAAGGGTGAACCATTCTGTGGACAGAAGACGACGAAGAAGACTGGTTTGCTCGCTGTGTGTGCTGCGCTCCGATTTTATCGGTGTAAATACACTGGCGAATAGTCACGTCCCGTCTCATTTTACGTAACATATTTGTGGCGGAGGTGCTGGTCCTTTCCTGTACCTATAATGAACTCCGCAACAGTCGCATCATCACGGGTCCTACCATGTCACAGGTTTAAGGTGCATCGCCTTCACCACCCGCCTCTTCTGTGGCTCCTACCTACGTTGTCCTACCTCGTGTTAGTGATACTGGCGTATTTTCTAGACAGGATGGCCTTGACGTTGACCAGTGGCTCAACGTGTATTAACGGATCAGCGCAAGCTATAGGTGGGACCCAACACTCGTGCTTGAAAACGTGCTTCTTTACTTTGATGGCCCTCCGCGGGTGTGGTTCGAGACACACAAAGCCGACATTATCAGCTGGGACACCTTCAAGAAGATCCGTGACTTTTTTGGGAACACCGCTGCACGACAGATAACTGCGCGAAATCAGTTGGCTTCTCGGGCACAGACGTCTACTGAATCCTACGTCGCGTATATTCATGATGTCATCGTCCTTTGTTGCCAGGCTGACGAATAGATGCCCGAGCCTAAGAAGGTATCAAATGTGCTTAAAGGACGATGCCTTCAACTTGCTTGTATACACTAATGTTACCACCATCGATGAAATCATCAAAGAGTGCCGGCGGTTTGAACATGCCAAGAGCCGCCGTATCACACAGAGATTCACGCGACTGCCCAACACAACCGCAACTTCATCGTGTGAAGCCGCTCGCCAACCACCCACCCATGACCATGTCACCCGAATAATTCGTCGGGAGCTTGAAGCTGCCTGTCCAGCTCCCATTCAACAGCCTGTTTTTACAACCCAAGCCACTGACCCATCGCTAGCCTTAATTCAAGCTGTGGTAAGGCAAGAGTTCGCTAATCTCGGTCTTCCGTCAGCGTGTCCCGTGACTAGCCCTGAAGTACACTCATATCCATCAGGTAACGCTCGCCTATCTCCTCCATCATTGCCCTTCCGGAACCCTACGCAATGGCGAACCCCTGACGACAAGCCCATCTGCTTTTCCTGCCATCAACCTGGACATATTTCTCGTTATTGCCATCGCCGCTGGTTCAACCCACCACGTCAGAGCTACCCTACTTATATGCGCCCTACCACTTCTGGTTATCCAGCCGCTACACCGTCCAACTTTTACTCGCCGCCTCCTCAAGAGCCTCTCCCCACCGACGCCCCCTTCCGGTCGCCGCTACTTCCTTTCCCCTTCGCCGCTACGCCGCCAATCCCGCTCTCCCCCGCCTCGGCGCTTTTCCTCGTCGAGCTTCTCTGGACGATCGCAGCAAGAAAACTAGATATTGCAGCTTACCAATGACACCCAATGAAGCTGCAATACCAGTGACGCCCGGAAACCCTCTACTGACGCTGCCCACACACCACAGTCTCATTGAAGTAAAAGTCGACAATGTTCCTGTTACTGCCCTTGTTGACACAGGCGCCCACCTATCTATTATGAGCACACATCTACGTCGCTGTTTACAGAAGATCATGATGCCCACTACGACTCAAGCCATACATGTTGTGATGGCAGCGCTGTAGAAGTCGTTGGAATGTGCACTGCTCGTGTCAACATTGCTGGTCGTCACGCCGTAGTCTTTTTTGTCGCACTAGATCGTAGCCCCCATGGCCTCATACTAGGCCTTGATTTCCTCTCGGCCCACTCGGCTTTAATTGACTGTTCTTCTGGCACGCTCAGCCTCGACCTTCCCCTGCTCTCTGATGTCTGTGAAAAGCCCGTCAGCCGCTTGAGTCCAACCACTTTTGTTCGCTTGCCGCCTCGAGCTGTGACATACATCTGTCTGTCATCGACCCCTCCAGTTCCCGACGAAGACTACATCGTTATACCGATAACAGACGCACGACTGACGCGCAGTGTTACAGTGCCGCATACCATCGCCACGGTAGTGGAAATTGTGTGTTTTTTCCGCTCCTAAATTTCGGCCTAATTCCTCAAGTGTTGCCCAGCCAGATGTCGCTTGCTCAACTCACTACCACAAGAGATGATGACATAAACGTTGTCGCTGTAACTGTTCCAGATCAAGCCGAAGTCTCACGGTTATTCGATTCTGCCGAAGCCATCTTTCTAAGTATAAATGAACCAGACCTTCCACCTGATCAGGCCGATGCTCTCTGGCGCGTTTTGGCCTCCTACGGTGACATTTTTTATATCTGTGATCGTCTCTTGGGCCAGACTAATATTGTCAAGCACCGAATTAACACTGGTGACTCTGCGCCGATCCACTGTCAGCCTTACCGCGTGTCCGCATCAGAACAAGCAGTGATTCAGAGGGAAGTGGACAACATGCTATCGAAAGACATCATCAAACCATCATCAAGCCCTTGGGCTTCCCCAGTGGTCTTGGCAAAAAAGAAAGAAGGCGCCTGGCGTTTCTGTATTTATTATCGGCGCCTCAACAAAACCAAGAAAGACGTGTATCCTCTTCCACGTATTGACGACGCACTTGACTGTCTTCATGGCGTCACCTTTTTTTCATCTCTCGACCTCCAATGTGGCTACTGGCAAATTGCTGTAGACAAATTGAGTCGTGAGAAAACTGCATTCGTTACCCCCATGGCGTTTACCAATTCAAGGTCATGCCGTTTGGTCTCTGCAACGCCCCAGCTACCTTTGAGAGAATGACGGACACGCTGCTGCAAGGATTTAAATGGGCGACATGCTTGTGTTACTTAGATGACGTGATAATCTTTTCACCCACCTTCGCCACACACCTTAAACGCCTTTCGACCATTCTATCAACATTTCGACATGCCGGTCTTCAGCTGAATTCCTCAAAGTTCCCGTTCAGTCTCCGTCAAATTACTGTGTTGGGCCACCTTGTTGATGCTTCCGGTGTATGACCAGACCCGGCAAAAGTACGCGCAGTAACGAACTTTCCCGTTCAGGGCTCTGTCAATGACGTTCGCAGTTTTGGTTGCCTATGCTCTTACTTAGAGCTCCTACCGCTCTAACGATACCACCGATACTTGCACATTTCGACCCAGATGCTCTTACAAAAGTGCGGACAGACGCTAGCGGTCACGGCATCAGCGCAGTTTTGGCACAAACTCAGCGGGGCACTGACCGTGTAATTGCATATGAAAGTCGTTTCCTTTTAAAGCCTGAGCGTAACTACTCTATAATATAACAGAACGAGAATGCCTTGCCCTTGTCTGGGCGGTTTCGAAATTTCGTCCTTACTTGTATGGCCGTCCGTTCCCTGTCATCACAGATCATCACGCCCTCTGTTGGCTTTCTTCACTGAAAGACCCTTCTGGACGAGTTGGTTGTTGGGCATTGCGTCTTCAGGAGTACTCCTACTCAATTGCCTACAAGTCCGGACGCCTCCATCTGGAGGCCGATTGCTTGTCCACGCTGTACCGTGGTAGGGTCCAGCCAGATGGCCCTGAGCTACTTCTAGTCCTGCCTAACCATCTCCGTTCAGCGGTCCTGCATGAGCTTCATGACGAACCAACTGCCGGCCACTTGGGCGTATCTCGCACGTACGACCGCGTCCAGCGCCGCTTCTTCTGGCGTGGTCTCGCCAAAAGAAGCCGCGCTACGTGGCTTCCAGCGATAAATGACGTCGAAAACAACCTGCCACACCCCCTGCTGGTTTCCTTCACCCGATCTCGATCCCTACCGAACCTTTCTTCGTGTTGGTGTAGACCTCCTCGGACCGTTCCCTGAATCAAACTCTGGGAACAAGTGAGTCAACGTTGCTATAGACCATGCGACCAGGTTTGCCATTACTAGAGCGTTCCCCACCAGCCCTGCTACTGAAGTAGCTGGCATTTCGTTCCACGATGTAATTCTATACCATGGCGCTCCGCGGCGTTTGTTCACCGATCGTGGACGTGCATTTTTGTCACCCGTACTCGACGACCTTTTGCGCTCTTCCTCAATGCAACACAAACTGACCACTTCCTACCATCCTCAAACAAATGGCCTTACGGAACGCCTAAATCGCTCCCTCAAGGACATGCTCTCGATGCATGTCTCATCTGACCACCATGACTGGGATCTAACGCTACCTCACGCGACGTTCGTCTATAATTCATCTCGTCATGATACAGCAGGTTATTCACCTTTTTATATGCTCTATGGCCTTAATCCGACCTTACCGCAAGACACCCAACTACCGACTACTACACCTCCGCCAAGCCCCGCCACAGTGGTCCAGTGGCTAAGGTACTCAGCTGCTGACCCGCAGGTCGCGGGATCAAATCCCGGCTGTGGCGGCTGCATTTCCGATGGAGGTGGAAATGTTGTAGGCCCGTGTACTCAGATTTGGGTGCACGTTAAAGAACCCCAGGTGGTCGAAATTTCCGGAGCCCTCCACTACGGCGTCTTTCATAATCATATGGTGGTTTTGGGATGTTAAACCCCACAAATCAATCAATCATTACACTTCCGCCGAGCGAATACGCACGTATTGCTGTCGCTCGTGCCGACCACGCACGTAGATTGCCTGCTCTAGGCTGTTGGCTTCACAAGCAACCCAGAAGGCTCTCTACAGCAGCAAGCATGTCGACGTTGACTTCTCACCTGGTTCTCTAGTTCTTCGCTAGAGCCCAGTTCGTCGTGTGGGATTGTCAGAGAAGTTGCTATCCCCATACAAGAACCTTACCGTATCATACGACAGGTAACGAACGTTACCTATGAGGTCATTCCAGTCTCCGGGACTAACCTGTCTGCAAACACCCCCAGTGACGTAGTCCACATCAGTAGGCTGAAACCCTACCGCCCTCCTTCTGAAGAACACATATAAAGTGCACCGAGCCGGTGCTTTTATAACCGGGCAGGGGGAGGGGTGATGCTACGTAGCTATCGCATGAAGGGTGAACCATTCAGTGGACAGAAGACGACAAAGAGGACTGGTTTGCTCGCTGTGTGCTGCGCTCCGATTTTATCGGTGTAAATACACTGGCAAATAGTCACGTCCCGTCTCATTTTACATAACAACATTTTGAATTCCAATGGCAGTTCGCAAGCGGTTGGCTGCATCTCGAATGGAGCGCGCAGATCCGAACGGCATTGCTCTTGGCAAATCTGCGATTTGAACATGTGCGTCTCAACGGGAGCAGTTGGTGAGCGGAAATCTAGCAAAAAAGCACGAAGCGCTTCCCTGGTCATCCAAGGCTGCCCGCAACCATGAAACATTCATTCGTGATTGGACGAAAGGCGAGTGCACAGATTATGTCACGTGAACTTCCGGTCAAATCAGCAAATTTCGATGAAGAAAGAATTTTGGCTCCATGGAGTAATCCGTAATCTGTAGTTGCTCTTAATTTGCTATTGGAACACACTATTCATGCTCCCAATCCGCAATTGGAATGTGATTGCTCCGCTTGGAGCAGAAAAAACTTGAACTGGATCTGCCATTAGAATTCAACAATAGAAGCTGACGGTCCTGATAAAGAAGCTGGGCTTCACAATGTTAACATGCACAAATGTTGAACGTGCAGAACTGCCAACTCTGTGATTCTGCAGGCATGGCCGGGAATTTCCATTAAACATCCTCAATACCACCACGATGAGAAAATAACAACAAAGGACAGCAGTTCTAAAATTTTCAGGCATTCATCTGTCATGTGCAAAGCACTCCTTAAATCGCTTTCGTCCCAGTACTTTGGTCTCATGCAGAAAAGCGTACAAAGATTAGCAACAGACTACTAGTCGTCATGGCTCACACCCTTGGTTCAATACACACATGTGCGCACAGGTTGAATATTTACAAGTGCAAGTATGATCGCTGACTTCACTGGCAATCATTCAGAGCTGTTTGTGATGCTGCTGCGGCCCTGAGCAGCAGTAAATGAAAACGTGCACCAACTTACTTTTGTCACACGCCAATTTTACATACTTTATGCTGGTATGAATTTTGGATTAAACGAATATTTTTTGAGACTACCTAAGATTATCACAGGGTCTTTACTGCGGCGCACTGGGCCCATCATGGCGTGTCACATAGGTACTGACACCATTCTTCAAAGGCGAGTTTACTCTGTGACACAAATCTCCTGTATGTAGAGACAGCTCTGATAAAGTTTGAAGCTCATCAAAAGCTGAGAATATATTTTATTTTGATAGTTGAGTCATTTTTCACATGACGCACTTACCAACATCAAGACTACCTAGGTGTCAGGTCATAGTACTAATACTGGTGACTTTTTGGAGCAGTCTGGCTAGTTGCGATGACGTCAGGTATCGAAACTTCCCAAGTGACCGCTCATGCCTTGACAAAACATTCAACATAGCAGCTTCTGCGTCCTTAATGGAGCCATGGTGCAAAACTGCTGAATAAACGTCATGACATACTGCATGAGCACATCATGAGAAGCTCGTACGGTGTTTTGATGTCACGGTACATTAGGAACCGAGACCAGCTCTTCTTTTTTTTTTTAGTGTTCACTCACGCTTAGCAGAACATTTTCTAGGTACTGGATGCAAAAAAAAATGACAACTGAAAACTTTCATGTCAGTCTCTCTTTAAAGTATGGCAACTGAATAACAAGACTTAACTTGAAACCTAAGCACCCTGCACGAACTTCTACGGAATTATGTTACAACAAACAGTAATTTTTTTGCAAAACTAACTTTAATGCAATGGTCCATTTAAGCATAGATGCACACTGCTCAGTGTAATTGTTGGAATTGATCAAATAGCTTGGTACACCACATTTAGGAGCTACTTTGCTGAAATAACGTAACCTTAATCTTCCAGTCTGAATTGTCAACAGAGGGTTGCACCTACTTCAACTATGGAGCAGCATTCGCTAGTGTGACACCCTTTGAATTACAGTGCTAACTTAATTAAACATGCTTAGCAAGGTACGTTCAGTCTTCCTTTTCTCTAAAATACCACAAAAATGACATCTAAGCGTATGCTCCGCACAAAGTGTGATGTCATTGCAAGAATATACCAGGATGTGGCACCTCATCATTCTGCCATCACATCACTGCTTGGTTAATAAAATACCGACACTGCTGCATATGTAAATATATAAAGCGTCAACATCACGTATATCTACATCACAATATCTTTAACTATAGCCATCTGTCGCTGTATGGAGCCAGATTTAACAGAGCAGCGCAGCTAAGTGCAGCAGTCGCATCAAAGATACTTGATCATTAGTGAAAGCATTGTTAACAAATGACTGACAAACTAGAATGCATTTCTTTGTCAGATGCAGCACCTATTGCTAATTAATTGTCTAAGAAATGTCCAGAAATCGAGATCTTCGATCGATTTGTAAGACTAGATTATTATGCGTACAAGACAAGCGATGGCACTGTCGCTCGCTCTACAAAGTGGTGTTTCCTGGAAATAGTGCACAATCATTTCAAGTGCTCACTTGTGGGTAAGAGAGGGGCCTGAGGCGGTCATAGTCCTCCTGGCCAGCAGTGTCCCAGAGGCCCAAGCTGACTGGCACTCCGTCGCACATCATGGCTGCCGAATAGTTGTCGAACACAGTGGGCACATACTCGCCCGGAAAGGAGTCGGTCGTGTAGGAGATAAGCATGCACGTCTTGCCCACTGTGCCATCACCCACCACCACACACTTGATGGGTCGCCCAGACGACACGCTGCCGCCACCAACCTTCTGCATGGCTTCTCACAGACACCTAAGCAGAAGCCGCACCTCGCAATAAATATTGTGCCCCACGAGCCTTAAAGATAATGTCAAACAGAAATCAGCAGGTATTAGCTTTCTACAATACTACAACAAAAGAAACTCTTACCAATAAGTAAGCTTGGTAAGCGGCAAATGCGAAAAAATGAAAACTACCTTGAGCAACTTAATGACACTTATTTGTAAAAGCCAGTTTCAGTACACAAACAGTGTTCATGCCATGACATGCTGGCTCATTCTACTCAGGCGACCGCAGGAGTGCAGTAAAAAAAAAAAAGAACAATGCTTATTTACCTTCTCAATGCATGACCCCAGAGCCTTGTTCATACACAATACAAAAAAAAAGCTATGCTATGTGCCACGAAAACAGGATGAGATTTACCATACAAAAGCTGGAATTTCAATATGAACTTTGAATTAAGCATTGTTTTTATCTTTCTAATTCAAGAGGCATATGGCAATTTCAACAAGATTTGCCAGTACTACTTTAAAGCAAGGACATCATGTACAGTGTCAATTTTTATGAAAGGGAACACTGTATCACGTGGCCTGCGCGCTCCGGCAGCTGCTGGCAGCGCTTTCAAACGGGAGCAACCACAGCCTTTTTTCCCGTCATCTCGCAACGAGCAAAACAACCATTCGTTGCAGATATGAAACCAGCGTCAAGATTGCGACCCCACTCCCCCTTCAAGGCGATTACGCGAGAGCCGGTAATTACCTTGAAGGGGGAGGGGTTTTCAATCTTGCCGTTCTATATCAGCAACGAATAGTTGTTTTGCTCGCTGCGAGATGATGCGAAATGAGACTGTTGTTGCTCTCACTCCCGCTTGAACGCGCTGCCAGCAGCCACAGGAGCACACAGGCCATGCGTCGCCGTGTTCCCTTTCATAAAAATTGACACTGTACATCAACATAGCCCAGTATGTTGCAGTTATTCCTGCAGTGTCATGCTTTACCATCAACTAAAATAAAGCAACTATACAATCTTTAACTAATGGCATTTTCGGCTGAGGTGCACTGGCACCGTGATGGTAGAAGTGAAGTTATGTCAAACACCGCCAGAGTTTCAAGCCTTGCTACGGGCTAGACGAGCGTGTGAACCACAAGACTTGAATCCACGACAGCAGCACTGTCTGCAAGAGGTGCCATTGAGCAGACTACAATTTCCAGCATACTGTTTGTACTGGAAATAATAGAGCAAACAACAGAAAACCATACAATGAGAGACACTTTTGAGACGCTATGTCTCCAGTGCGTGCGTGTGTTCTCCAGGCGGTTGCGCTGCATAAGTTCTGTACCAGCTGAATGAGGGTTAAGGTCATTTTCGCATCTCCTTCAGTGTCCAGTGAAATCCTAGCAGCAAAAGTAGTCATGTACGAGTATGGTCGGATAATGTACTCAAGCACGTTTTCCGTTCCGGCCGGCCATGCTCTGCGGCAGCATCAGCAGTAAATTATGCCTGAAATTGTGGAACATCATCGTGTCATCTGCCAGCGTGCATGGGCCGATGGAAATGCATCACTGTACTCGTGGTGCCCAGACAAACGTATAGCACTGCATGAGTGCACAGAATAGGCAACCAGTGGCGCCAGCCGAAGATCCCACGTGGCACAATGGTAAGCACATTGTTTGGATGAAAAATACGAGCCAAAGAGCTTTTCAAGCAGAATAGTTCCAAGCAATAAGCAGAAACAAGTAACTATTGTACCAGCAGAATGTGTAAAGTGGTCAGACACAGAAAGCACCCAACTTCTTCCATCTTATTTTCAAATAACGTATCCTCTCATTTTGGCTGCTTGCACTGAGAATATACCTAAGACTGTCAAGAGGGCTATCTGCATCTAGGGTCAAAGTTTAGAAACACAATGGAGAAGATAACATAGGACCAAAGCAAGGAAACAAGTGCTTCTAAAGGCAGAAATGGCAAGATAATTGCTTGATAACGGTGTTAGGGCTGGGGCCACACATTTCTTTATTACTGTATTTTTTTGCCAGAGTACAACTACTCCAGCACTCACCAATATACATTTTGTGTACAGGGGTACAAAAGCTTAAAACAGCTTTTGAATGACATCTAAAACTTAGTATTCAAGTGAAAGAGTTTTTCAATAAGATGTGGTGTGAACGAAGATATTGTGAATGCCATAATTCTCTCATTATTACTCTCAGCAGCCTTCGTTACAACAGACTGGCTGGCTGGTACAACTGCATTGTGTCACTTGGCTTCACTGCAATACTGCTTTCTTCAGTGGCATAACCGGGAGGGGGGGTCACGCTTCCCCTTCCCTGGAATTTTACAGTTTTGCTTGCACATATGTGCTTGCACACATACAAATACTTGCAGGAACATACTTGAAGAATGGCTGAATTCCCTAAAAAATTTCTGGCAACTCCCCAATAGCTCCAATAACCTCATTCAGGGTATCATTAAGAAAGTGCACAACGCAATCAGGCTTATCGAAAGAGTTACTAACCACCAACAAGAGCTTGGATAAGACAACGTCGTAAGACTAGGTCACTCATTTGTGTTGTGCCACTTCGCCTACGTAGTAGCTATGCACAAGTGACAAAGATCCGAAAGAGACAAACTTAATGCATTACTGAGAAAGACAATCAAGGTAGCTCTTGGGCTACCTATGTACACCAAAACTGAAAAACTCCTGCAGCTTGGAATACACAACACAATAGAGGAAATCGCAGAGGCGCAAGAAAGAGCCCAGTGTATTAGACTTACAACAACACAAGCAGGAAGGCACATCCTCGATTGAATTGGTGCATCAATTACAGCGATAGATGATAGCCACAAAGAAATCGCCAACGAACTGAAGGACAATATCACAATTGTGCCTGTTCCAAGGAATGTTCACCCCATTCATAATGTGAACAGAAGGAAAGCCAGAGCCAAAGCTCTGCAAGAAAAAGGTAAAAGTGAGGCTGAGGAATGCTCGTTTGTCCACGTGGCTTTTGCATCCAATAAACGAGCTGCCAGAACAGTACTCTCGAAACGTAAAGGCCAACTAGTCAACTCGGCTTCCATCTACACCACTGAGTCGAGCAAGTAGCCATTGCATTGGCACTTTTATACCCATATATATCGAGGATCTACAGAAACTCTAGAGCAGCTCCGCGAGCATTTGCCAAAAGAGTATTCTCTAGACAGCTTCTGGCAATGCTCAAGGGAAAAGTAATCAAGCCACACACGATTACCCGGTTTCCTGCTCACATGGGAGAAATCAATGATGCTCCCGCGAACCTCAACAAATCTGACCACAATGCTGCACGAGGACTTGTCAACCATGCAGCCACAAGGCAAGAAAATGCCAAAGTTTCAGAATGCAAGGATCACCTCCTCCCGTACAAGGACCTAACGAAACATTTCTATCTAGGACGCAGGGTCTTCCCCCCTCCACACAGTAAACTAAACAGAGCTCAGGTCACTACGATCAGGCGATTACAAACAATAACTTATCCGAACCTGCTGTTAATTAACAGGATCTATCTGAAATTCTGTGTTCCTACAACATGCAATAAATGCCACGACACCATAGATCTTGCTCATATGCTCTGGCATTGCTTCGCATTACGCAGCGACGAGAAAAATACTGAAGAACGATGAGACGCAGCTTTGTGCAGTCCTACATTAGAGGGACAATTACAAGCATTTCAACAGACCCGCAAAGCAGCAGAAAGGCTAGGTCTTTCGGTCCCAATGTGGAGTGGCCCGGTTCGGGCTAGGACACTAGCACAATCTATTGGACCTTAATATTACTTCATTCATCCATCCAACTCCCCTGGTTTTCTTTCTATGCAACTTCACTGTGCCGACAGGCACTGTTGCCAACCCACAATTCCAACTGCCTGCTTCTCACAGAGGTGACCTCTCTGGGCTATTCTGTTCCCCCAATATACTTTCCTTTATTGGAGGTGTGCACATAGCTAGCTGGCGTGCCTGACTGCATCCTTTGTTTGCAGCTTTGTGTCCCCATTTGCTTTTACACAAGCTGGAAGGGAAGGGCATCCATCTTTTTTATCACAAGCTTCCATCTTCCTCTGTCTTTTTTTTTAAACTTCTAAAGTAAATATAGGCATATACATAGGAGAAGTGGAATAGTGTTTGGCCAAGACACTTCATAGTGTTTGCTGGTCCCGCCGGGGAATAAACTAAAAAGGTGTATTAATATGCAGGCTTGTTGGTACACCCAAAAACAGGACATCTTGTCGCTTTTGTCTTCCGTCACCCTGTCTTGTCCGGTCAACCTACTCTAACACTGCGGTCCCATCTAAGTGCTGCACTCACGTTTCCACTTGGGTACATCACAAACAGAAACAAGCAAAATATTTTTATTGACAGCTTGTACGTGACGTCATGGACGTACAGTGTGACTCCAGTACAGCTGCTTCAATGATGTCAAGGCAGTACAGTCGAGCAGCGATTAACCTGCTTCAGTATGATAACATCGCTGAAACGTTATTGGGCCCCTGTGCATGAATTATGATGGAACCAGAACCTACACGCAATGTACCAATAATGTTAATGTGACATCACAAAGTTTGTGTCACACCAGGTTGGTGCTTCAACATGGCCGTTTCAGAGACATCAGTGCGAGACATCTACACATGATTACTTACATTAGCTTGAAGGTCTGATTTAAGTCATACAAAACACAGCCATACTATCTAACAGTTTCTTCAGTTATCGAACAGCCACCAACTCGGTGTTTGCGCATGTATCTGAAATAAACTTCTGCATGCACTGCTAACCTGCCAAACTGTTGCAACATCATGCCTGTCAGACTAGCACACTTCTGATCAATGTGGATGCCCACTCTGGCTTCTCGGGCCCTGAAAAAAAAAAATAGTTCTCTCTTGGTTCCTAACTCATAAAATTTGCTTTGTCATAGCTGAACCATATGCCTCACGATATGCTTTGCAAGAGTGCACCGCTGCACTCTATGGAAACACTTTCTACAAGAACTGTTAGGATGAAGCCTGGTTCGCAGCCATATGTATATATAAAGCAACGAATCAGCTTGCCACGAAACACCTTATCCGAGCACCAAACCAGACAATGTAAATGTACTTACATGCAAAACTATCAATATCATCAGCTTTTGTACGCCTATTTGCTACGACTTTCCTGCACAGATGCTTCACTGGTCGCCTTCTCATTTCATGAAGCAGCACGACTTTTTTTCAGGCATCTTTACTGCTATAATAGTGCTCATTAGCATCAGGTTCAATTGCAGTCTCAGAAAACTGAATGAGCTTCCACCTGAATATGTAGAGCAATGTGTCAGCAAAGATACTCAGACAAGCTGAAGAACTGTTTCAAAAGTAACCTCCCCTGTCTGCATAGTTTTTTTTTGTTTTTTTTTCTTTCCTGTGTGCGTAATTTAAGAGCAGCACTTGAACGTTTTAAAAGCACACAGCTAGTCCATACGTCGAGACACGGATGATTTCTGCCACTATGGGGCTAATGGAATCAAACATTGCGCGACTGCTCAATCAGTTGGCCCCGCTAAGCTATTACATACTGGCCAACTCCGAAACCCATTAAACGAAAGCATCTCACTGCAGCTAAATCTAATTTTTATTGCTATCGCTTTCTTCTCCGGACTGTGGCTGTGAAAATGGCAGATGGGAAGAGAACCAGAAAACTTCTACTGCAGCGGCAATTTGCTCCATAACACACCACCAGTCGGTTTGCGTGACACAACGCGAAAAATAACCCTCTCACACAGGGCAGAACAACACGCGCAGGCAAGCAGCGGATGTCGTGCTACCAGCCTGGCCCACGCCAAAAATACCCCCGTTCCACCCAGCTCACAAAGAACCCCTTTGCCGTTATGTATTACCGGCACGTGTCGCATCATCGCTGCGATGCTTGCTGCCCGACAGAGCGAGAATCAACTCTCGCGTAGTTCTTGGGTTGCGGGAAAACCGGCAACTTCGATGACAACACCGAACGTGGTACAGGAGTTGCAACACAAAAACCCCGTGGCATAGACAAGGGACTGCAATTCGCGACTACTTGAACGACTTGAGCATGACTCACGGTGAGGCAGCCGGCACACCGGGGAGTAAACAAGCTTTACCGTGTCAGATCTCCGCTGATGCTGCCAAGGCGCCGTTGATCTACCACGTTCAACTACGGAACTTGATCACGCTCGTGTAGCCGTAGTCATGATACGGCGGTGCGGGCGGACACAGTTGCATGCGATCCGCGCAAGGTTTTTCGCTCGACACCCGCACAACAAATCGGCTACCGCAGCAATCGCACAATGTGTCCGTGCATCAAACGAAGCCTATCCCTGTTCTGGCGCCTAGCGGGCGGGATGAATGCTTCAAACCGTTCGTCGGCCTCAAGTTTTATTACTCAATTTTCTGCTTTCGCGGACATGTTCTGGCTTCTCAATAAAAGCTTTTCTATTTGAGGCATTCGAGGGCTTGCGAGGAAACAGAGAGGCAGTATTTAAGCGTTAATGTGTGAAATTATTTTATCAAAATGCACGTACAAAAAAAAACTAATCTTGTAATTGAAACAAACTTTTACTGAAAGTTTTTTTAGGTGGTATTATGTTTATCTAGGCATTTTACAATGCCAAATCACATGCAAAACGATGCATAAAAGCAGCCTTTAGTTTCGGTTTCGGATTATCGTTCTACATTCTGCTGCAAATCGGGGATTCGAAAGGCTGGGCGAAAATGGCGACCTTCCTTCGGAGAGCGGTGCGGATCGCAGGAAATATCGCCGTACAGCGCAACCTAAAGGTGGGAGAGCACGTCCTAATTTGTCCGCATGGTATGACACATGTCGCGCTGCCTTTACGATTCATCTCATGTCGCACCGCTGCTCTACCAATTGGTTGTGGTGAACAGCTGGATTCGCCCGAAGAGATTATTTCGGCTTTTTGAAGGTGCTTCGGTTAGAAAACTAGTTGCTTATTTATGTCTTATCACTGTTTGTCACAGTGTAGTCCATACTTGGCAACTGCTTGCCTCATTTCTTACTTTTAACGGCATTCGCCGGCCGCACCTACTGCCGTGTGCTATGATCAGTTGCGACGTACTGGTGTTACGCGCTAATGGAACAGTTCGCACCTAGTGTGCGGGGCGCTGTGCCAATGATTGTGTGATTGTGCTGTGCCCTCCTGGGTGGCTCACTGATGAAAGTGTCTCGCCCGCGCCTCCAAGGTCAAGCAGGATGCCTTGGGAGGCTGGATTCAGCGCAGGAACTTGAACCTTCACGAGAACGTCAGCATGCAGCTTCTCCAAGAAAACGGCGTCACTGTGCCCAAATTCGGTGTCGCTTCCACACCTGAGGAGGCAGAGGAGATCGCCCAGCGCCTAGGTATGCTTGCACGGCGTCTGAGTGACGTAAAATGAAAACGCCCATTCATTCGTGTTGCACGGTCCTCGCATGTTGCGTTACTTGTTCACCGCGTTATAAACGCAGTGGTCATGTTGTCGCTTCACATGCACATGATGCATATTGCCGTAATACTAAAGGGTGCTGTTAACAAATCAGGAATGAAAAGCACGACGTGTTGACCTGCGTTAGAGTTCCAATGTCTTACCCTTGAAGTTCGGCAATCCATGTCATTGTTGGTTCTAAAGGACCGGGTGTGCACCAGGCATACAAGAAGGAAGTCGGCGCACCGTAACTGCCTACTAACAACTCAATATGCGCACTACTTCAAAAAAGAAAGAAGGCACGAAAACTTGACTGGGCATGCCCGTGTAATATATGCGAAGCCATCCATCTGGCACACATGGAGGTTGGCGTGAAAGATAACTGCTAAAGCATTTAAGTTCGTCTTTATGCAAGTTTCTCTACAATTGGCTCACGCATGTGTGGCGGCTATTATCAATATGCCATGCCTCAATCATAAGACGCGTTCCTCCATTCCTATGCTGGTAGAAAACTGCGCATTCATCGAATTTTGGGCGTGCACTTACACTTTTGATGATGCAAAGAAATATTAGAGAGTGAGCCTATGGTTAGCGATCTCTTATGCTTCGATAATCTCTGGTTAACACAGCGACCCATTTGCGAAATGCTGAAACAGCTGCACCTAAATGGAATCTTATACAACACCCCATACAATAATCAATAAAGATTTGGTATGTTTTCTGAAATGAATGTCAGGCCGTTTATTGCCTGTCACCCACTCATTCTATTTTTGTATGGTGCCACGTATCTTACCAAGTTTAATGGCAGTCATAACAACAACAACGCCGGATCTACCACCTCCTTTCATTAGCCTCAGATACACAATGAATTTGAGGAATACCAATGACACGCTTTTTTCTATTGCTTTCTTTGATGTGAATGCTTCTGAACTAGCTCAACTATCTGTCGTTCTTTTGCCTGTGCTCCATTGCAATGAGCCCTGCAATCATGATGGCATTATTTATTTTTTCCAATATTACAAATTAGTTCTGCAAAAACCCGTAAGGTGATGGAAGGGTTAAGAGAGAGCAAGAAGGAAGAGAAACCCGTAGGGATTTCCTTGTGGCTTTGTGCTACAAATGGGCGGTTGTCATCTTTACCTTTCTTATTTTTTCCATCTGTATCAATTGTGTCACTGTATAATCCATGATGATGACAGTTGGTTAATGGTATGTTTACATCAGTGACACTGAAGCTTCGAACAATGGCAGTTCAGTCGTGCTACAGCAGGGCGTAGTAGGCCGAACGCGAGCTATAAACACATACAAAAAAAAAAAAAAAAAACTGGGGACGGGCAAAGCATGCGGGTGTTTTGAGAGAGATTTCACTTGACAAATGATGTTCGAATACTTGGAGTTATCAGAAGCAGTAACTGGTAGCAAAGCTGTTTCTAAGAGGCTGCTGTTGCAATACTTTTCATTACCTTTCAGAGCATATGCCTACAGGCCATCGAGCGCAAGGGCATCGGTAAAGCACTTGTACACCACCCAAATGCATATTTCTTAACATTCGTAGCGTATGCCACTATACAATCATACCACAGTTGTAATGCTTACATATATTTTTAGTCATTTAACAACCACAGTTCAGACAGCCGTTTCGTGTTCGCCATTAGGCTTAGTTTTACCATCAGTATCTCTTGCGTACAGCTGTGATATGATGATGATGATGATGGAGTTAATGTCAAGTACAGGTGACCTGGTGCTTCGATTTTTCAGGCACACCAGATGTCGTGATCAAGGCACTTGTGCTAGCCGGGGGTCGTGGCAAGGGGACCTTCGACAGTGGGCTCAAGGGGGGTGTCAAAATGGCCTTTTCGTGAGTACCGTTCCTGCTTCTCGAGATATGCATGCATGGCAGCATTGAACAACTGTCAGAAGTGTATATACGTGAAGGTCAAGCCGTGTGCTCAGATTCGGATGCACGAACCCCAGGTGGTAGAAATTTCCGGAGCCCTCCACTACGGCGTCTGTCATAATTATATGGTGGTTTTGGGACATTAAATCCCACATATCAATCAATCTCTCGAATACAGGGGGTGTCAGCACTCTCATATCCCCTCAATCCTAATTCTAACCATATTCCGAAAAGAGAAGAAATCCACCACACAAGCTCTATCAAAACATGACAACCCATGTCCCTACATAATGTCTGTGCACGACGACACCGCCACCGGTCGACACCGCTGCACTGTCTGGCTCGACTTCACCTCAGTACCGGTCCCGCAACAGCAACGTTGCCATCGGCGCAACGAACCGTCACTCGTGCCGACACATCTTCCGGTTGCGGCGAGCACTCACGAGGGCGCCGGACTGCAGGCAGTTGCGCAAGTTCCAGGCATCTCCATCATCTGACCTCACGACCGCATTCCTGGTTAGCGGTGCTGAGGATGTGCAGAAGACAGCCAGCCACGAGTTACATCACTCCCGCTGCGTACATTCCAAAACACTCGAAAGAACAATGCAGTAGGCCAAAGGGAAGGGAGCTTCTGGCTCCTCGCCTACACGGTACAATGGTCAGTACTGCTAGTTAATACATGAGCGGCGGCCGAGACGCCCATCAACATAAAACAAAAATAACTTTTTCTCAGCTCGTGCATTACAAGATGAAGAAAAAAGTGAGGGAAGCAAAGTGCAACACCTCCGCACCTAATCCTAGTTGTGCCACGAGTGACAGGCGGCTGCGCAGAGTCTTAGGCCTAATGAGTCGCTCGACAACAACTGGCATCCACCCAGCACCCAGCCTAGGCGCAGAAGAGGCAGCCGCAAAGAGACATCTACTCTGTAAGGTGGCCTTATCGCTCGCCGCTCATAGGAGCTTACCGAGCAATTGGTGTCCACCGTCCCAGACGGTGTCACGACGCCCTGGCGACGAGCCGCAATACCTCATGGCAACGACGCCCAACTCCCTGAGTCCAAAGATAGAAGAAGCTATTTACAGAAAATCAGACCACCCAAAAGGCTTCCGTACTCACTCACTTCGGGCCTGGTCTACAATCCACGTGCTCTAAGCTTTGCTCACCCCAGGATGCAGACCGCATGGCTTTCGTCCCAACTGAACAACGTTCTTGAAAACCAACGACAACAACAACAACAACAAAAAAAAAAGAACACTTAAGAGCAGAAAAAATAAAAACTCGAGTGCCGACAAGTTCATACACGTCACAAATACCGATCTGCCTCTCAACAAAGCACACCACCAACGCTAGCAGTCTCTCTAGGCCTACTCTACCCCGGCTCTAACAAAAACTTGTACTAAACTGCCAAAATTATCGTCCGATGCTCCAAAAGCCCCACGTTGGGCGCCAGTGTGGGGTCTCGAAATTGGCGAGCGCCACGCTCTTGGATGAATGGTCACATTAGACATGGTTGGACCGAACCAAACAAGAACACGTTTATTTAAATACTTTGGAACGACGATATCGTCAGCGGAATGATTATACATTAATTGTAATTAACACGGTAAGACATTCTTACACATCATTACTCAACACGTAGCAACATAACAAACCCAGCAGCACACAAAAGGCAGCGTCGCCAACGCTTGACTCATCGCACAAGCCCCCCGGCAGACGGCTCGCGGTGCAGTGCACCGGGGACACGCCGTGAAAGCAACCGTTTATGCCAAACGCCACCAGATGAAGAGACTCACTCCATTCTCTCGCATGCCACCAAGGCTTGCCTTCCGCCAGAGGTCACCACCAGCGCTACCGCTCTACCAACCATAATGATGATAGTGGTGATCACCGCTCGCGAACACACCTATTGCTCAATAATTTTCACCCCCAAAATACGGCTTCTGTGCGAGACACGTGCACCACGCGGCGCAAACAACTCTACAGGGGGTGTCAGCACTCCCACGGAAACTTTTTTTTTGGTATGCCTACTGCTTAGCTAAGCCTAAATGCTGGCGTAGAGTGCATCGAGCACAATGTGCGATTGCTGCTCGGGCATATCCTAGCTCTTGTTGTTCATTTTGATCACGAAAGTGACATCATGCAGTTGCAAGCCAGCGCACGTAGAAACTGAGCCGTGTAGTCAACCACAAATAAATAACAAGTGCTCTCACGCATCCTAAACACCACTGGAAGTAGTGTCATTGTCAATCGACTCCCACTTCCTGAAAACTACGCTTACGAGCGTGCTTTGTGTGGCCATCGTTTTTTTTTGCAGATCGCACACTGGCAAACACAGAGTGGTGCTATCGCAAGAATTTATTGCTGTTCACACACTACTTAACTGCGTCGGTCATGTGGCGGCATTCATTTAGTCCAAACTGCTATGCAAAACTGTAAGTTAAGGAAACAAAGCAGATGTAGTAGTGAGGCAGAACTATCAATAGCACTTTTGATACTATTATTGGTATAAATAACTATCGATAGCACTATCGATGATAGTATACTATGAACTGTAAGTTCAATAGTGTTGTCAGCAATAGCATTGGCAATGACTCGAGTCCTCAACCACCACTTCAAACGTAGAGCTAATGCTTCAGCTTTACTTGGAGTTACCGCCAGAGGAAAGGAAGAGCGATTCAATAGACTTCTGGCACTCTTGGCAATGCTGAACGCTCTCTCAGATGGCTAGGAAGTACTTGTGCATACCAGCAACGTCAGTACCTGGCCTTTAGAACACGTGTTCTCCGCAGCTGGACAGATCATTTTAGAAAGAAAGAGCAGGCTAAAGGGAGAGAAGGTAGACATGCTTCTTCTCTTTCACCAAAATGCTTGGCTTACAAACAATAATTTAACTGAACAGTTTAGTGGTTGGGGCAATGAACCTGTTCATGTAATGGAACTGCAAAATCTCGTATTTATGTTGCATTTTGTGGCTTAAATTTAAACAAAAATTACGAAATTGCTTTTGTTTGTAAAGTTTGACTGCTTGTTTTTCAGCTATAATTTTTTGTGGACATACTCCGGCATTTTTAATGTGGTAGTTTTATTTACAAAAAATTGCTCATAAATGACAGGAGCTGAGTACTGCAAATGGTGGCCTGTTCTGACTGTTTTCCACAAAACCATCAGTAAATGGACTATCGATAATACCGATAGTTCTTCAAACTACCTTCTTCAAACTACCGATGGTCCATTTAACGACACTTCTGCATCACCAGGATGTAGTCGCATTAGTCCTCAGTACTTAGTGAACCCTGAAACATCCTTTGAGGACCCACTCTTAATACCCCTGTCAACTGTGGATTCGAGCGATGCCAGTTTTGAGGGAGGGGGAGGAGAAATGTTAAGGCATTCACCTCCCACCCTCCAAAGAAAAGTAAGTAAATAACCAGTGACACTTTTTTAATGACCTCAAGACACTGGCCATTCACAGAAACCATATGTACCATTCATAGCTAAAACTTGTGCAATAAAAAACATGCACGAGAAGAGACAGACAACGCTGGCGCATTGCATGGTGTCTGTTCGTGTTTTATGTTGCGCAAGTTTTAGCTATGAATTGGTACCAACTTGCCAAACTTTCAGTACTATTGATACATATGTACCATGCTTACTAATACTTCAACACGCATGTTGTGCTTCCCAATGACACCAGAACGTGACAGTCTTTCCTGCTAAGAACTTCATTAATGGCTGCTTTTAGGGCGAAGCTCCTTATAGCAACACCTGTTCGTCCCTCGTAGCCATTGTAGTGTGTAACAAGTATAACTTTTTGGCCTCCAAGGTGGTGCCGGTGAGAGATTTCTTCTGTGCGTTTTTGAATAATAAAAGATAGTGCTCAATGTACATGCCAATGGCTGCTAAGGGAGAATGAGAGACAGGAGCATTCGGCTTTTAGTTAACGCGCACTCTGTGATCCCCATTAGCAGCCATTGGCATGTACTTTGAGCACTACCTGACATGAAAGGGTTGCTATGTTATACTTGCTGGGTGTAACCTCCTTAGTTTTAGAAAGCTTTAGAGAGCGTTGAGCCGCAGTGCCATGAATACAATGAACTAGTATATACCATGAACTCGAGGTGGTTAAAGGTGGGAAGCAGATACGAAGCGCAAGTCGCAAGAAAGCAGAAGCCGAATTCTTCTGTCTCTCATTTCCTATTAGCAGCCATTGGCCTGTACATTGAGCACTATCTGACAGGTAAAGGTTGCTACGTTATACTCGCTGGGCGTAACCTCCTTGGTTTCAGAAAGGTTTAGCGAGCGTTGGCAGCAGTGCCATGAATACAGTGAACTAGTATGTACCATGAACTCGAGGTGGTTAAAGGTGGGAAGTAGACCCGAAGCGCAAGCCGTAAGAAAGTGTGCCACCTCTCATTTAGTCCTTGTAGTCCTTGGAATGTCCGCTGGATGGCGGTGCATCTATATGGGGAATATACGATTAAAAAATGCGAGATGGTGGTATTTGAAGTGTTGAATAGATAGACGAACGGGCACACAGACATATGCATGGATGGACGCATGAACGGACGCAGGGGCGGATGCATGGACGAACGCACGAACAGACACACAGACGGGCAGATGTACACATGGACGGTCACACAGACGGACGGAAGCAAGAACGAATGAACAGACGAATGCTTCGCCCCACTCTCCATCATTCACTCCGTGGATATGCTGCCATTTTTTATTGGATACTGGCTTTTTCTCCTTTGCAGCAGGATTTTCTGTAAGCACACAGATAACAATATTGACTGAAATTTAGACGTCCTGCTCCAAGTGACCTTAAATACCATTTTGGCTGCTCCAAGCCTGCTCCAAACACAGTACCTATCGCTCCAGATCTGCTTCAAAACAGACTTTTTTCTGCTCCAAAAATTGCTCCAAATTATAATCTGGCTGGACCACCACACAGAAAGAAAAA